AGGTTGGCTTCCTTTTGGTTCCCTGTCGAAACAGCCCAGAAGTGCCGCCCATCGAATACAAGCTGGGCTGATCCCTCGCTGAAAGCTAAACTCTTAGTGGTGAAATTCGGAAGTCCAACCACTAAACACTAAAAAGCCAAAAGGCTAAGGAACCGGATGGCTGGCTTCGCCACCAAGTAAGGAAAAGCGCACATCCATTCCCATGGTAAGGCCCCAACAAATCCCCCAGCCATCCCCATGGAGCGGATCCCAACATCTTGGTTGGCGTCGGAAGGGGAGCAAAAAAGTGTTAAACAAATAGCAGTTAAGTGGTTGGATTTCCGCCACGGTTACCACAATAATAGCAAACAAAAAATCAGTTCAGTGGGTATTTCCACCACTAAACCACAAGAAGCAAAAATGTAAAATGTTCCCAACAACAACCATGATAGCACCCTTTCAGAGCTCCACCATGACGAGACCCACCAAGAGTCGCCCCTTTTTTGGTCAGGACGTGAAAGTAGATGCCACAATTCCCACAGGCTTCATCCCCCTCGCTTCCCACGAAGGGAATTGTGCCTCTGCTTTCACCCCACTGTAAGATTCCCTTGTTTTGGCCTGTTTTTGCTGACTTCCTTCCTGACAGGTTGTGGTGGTTATGAACGCGAAATGGCTAGGTGTCACAATCATCGCAGACCCCCCCAAAACAAAATGCAACCGCGCGGTCGTGGTTTTTTCCTTTTGGCTTCACCTTAAACTTTAAAAGGGCGACCGTATCTTCCATTTGCTTTAGCCCCCTGGAAAAAATACAAATATTTGCAGTAGTCACAGATTCCCTTTAAAACCAACAGGGGAAAAACAAATATATATATATATATATATTTAAAAAAAAAAAAAAAAAAAAAAAAAAAAAAAAAAAAAAAAAAAAAAAACTCATTTCAGCGAATGGAGGGTACCCGAGCCCCGTTTTTCGACTTGTAGCGAGCCGAAACCATCCGACACCGAAAAACCGAAAAGCGGTCCACGGTGGAGAGCTGCTTCATCACCTCGAAGGGGAGGGGGCGGGGGGCTTACCTACCCCTCATGTTCCCTAGTTTCTGGCTTATGCCTAAAGGGCATGTTCCAGGCGTCTGGTGGTAGCATCCTTGACTGTTGGTTTCTCTGAGATGGGTATGTGTCCCCCTGGTTCTGGGGTGCGCCTTTCTTTGATACCTGAAATCTGGGGCCCGTTTTCAGATCCCCTCGCTAAAAGTGACTAACTTTTAGGGGGTGAAATTCGGAAATCCAACCACTAAACACTGAAAAGCTAAAAAGCTCAGGAACCGGATGGCTGGGAGCCACCAAGAAACAAGGGATAAGGCCAAAACCCGGGAAAGAATGGGATGTCTATGTTCCAACACCAGAACTGTGAATTGGATGCAGAGGATCTTCAGCTCCTGAAAAGCCTGGTGAGCTCACCAGGCAGGAATCCATTCAACAAGCAATGCGCAGTTCAGTTTGGGGTTGGCTCTACAACCCGGCGTCCTCTGCTTGATTGTATACAGGTCTGGCCTTCTTCGAGGACATCCTTTAGAGGTTGTTTTGAAGGAAACCAAGCGACAGCGGGGGGCCATTTTTGGGTACGTTTGCATATGAAGAGACCCCCCCCGTTTTACTTCAAAACTAAACTATATAGCTGCCAGGGCTCAAAATGGAAGGGTGGAATTCCAATACGATTGTCAAGGGCCCGGTGAAATTTCCCCTTCAGTGCCAGTGGACAGGAACTGAAGCATTCGAGCGAGAGACGCAACATGTGCCATGATCAAAAACTCCGGATCTGTGGAGGGGCATTGTTTCCTCAAAGAAACCCGTCCATTGGCCATCTCAAACCCATAGGGTGAGGTTGATGACCGTCCCTACCAACCAAATAGAGGGGCAACCTTGGCACACGTGTCACCTCCAAAGGTTTGCCATACGCCTTGTCCCCCTCCGTGGCATCACCCGTCTCGGAGTAGACGTGGATCAGGTATTGGCAGAGTACGTTGCCTGGTCGCAATGGATTCAACGGCGGGATACCTCCTCACAGTGAGGAGCCTGAGTCTAAACGACCCTGGAAAAGCAGCTTAGCTTGGCAAAGACTCTCTTCAGTTGCGTTGGACAGACTGCCGAACTCTTCCTGCGTGGAGCTTGAGACTACAGAGATTGAGCCAGGCCGTGAAAAATCCGAGCCACTTTCTGTGATACAAAACACTAGGATTCCCACCCCCATGACTCGGTTGCTTTCTGCTCCCTGCTAAAAGTTGTCTTTTTTTAGTGGTTTAATACGGAAAACCCATTAGTTGGCAAAAAGTTGATCAGTCCCAACATCCAAGCAGAATGCGCCAAAGATGAATTATCACTTCAAAGTTTGGGATCCCAAGTTTTCCAGAGCTTCCGAAGGCTCAAGTCCTGAGGCCAAAAGAGCGCAAGCACGCGCTTGTAAGCACAGACACCAAGGGGTCACTTTCAAACCTGGTACACTCCCTCAGACTAACATGGAAGCTCCCAGAAGGCCTCTGTAAATGGAACCAAGTCATTGAAAGGGGTTCTGGGAGCCTCCGTGTTAGCCTAGAAGGTGGTAAAACGGTCCACTCAAAATGGGTGTGGCTCAAAATTAAAGAGTCAGGGTTACGCAGGTGTTTGGCCTTTGTTTCCGTTTACACCAAGGGGCCAGTTTGGGCACCATTTTTTGAGCCAGAGCCAAATGACGCAAAGAACCAAGACTCGGTTGCTTTCTGCTCCCCTGCTAAAAGTTTAACTTTTAGTCGTTTAATACGGAAAACCCATTGGTTGGCAAAAAGTTAAAGTCCTAACATCCGAAACCACAATAATAAAAAATGTAACATCTTTCCCAACAACAACCCTGATAGGACCCCTTCAGAGCAAGACCCACCAAGAGTCGCCAATTTTTTGGGTCAGGACCAAGAGGGCAGCTGTGCCACTTTGTGCTTGGGACTCACCTTCCCTCTTTTGGCATCCCGGCCTTTGGCCTTCTTCTGCCACTCCGCTTCCACGATGCGCTTCGGGATAGACAGCTCCACCTGCGTCCACCCGCCGCCGCTTTTTCCGCGAACCACGAGACTGGCCGCGGGAGAGAAAATGGGCACCCTTCTTTGGGTGCTGGATTGTCACTGAAAAAAACAACTCCGGCAAAAACAACGATAGGAGCTTCCCGTCTGCTCGTGGTTTCCTCCCTTCTTGCCATCCGCCAAACATCCAGCAAGCAAGCCGAGCATAAACCATGGTCAAGTATAGCGTTCCGCTTGTTCCCTACAGTCGGAAGAGGGTCACATCATCGCCATAGGGAATCGAGCCACACGTTACTTCCCAACTGAACTCTCAAGGCATTCTCTCGGTCGAGCCCCGGGTTGTGCTGCTTCCAAGAAGATTCCACGACCGCTTTTACGGAGCAACCAAACAGTGTTCGAAGTTGTGTTGGTCTCGAAACGCGAAACATGGTCTAGCTCAAATCAGCATGGAACCAAGGTAAAGATGGACCTTTCCCCTGCCGGTTACAGGTTCACCTCCAGTTCTATTCAGAACCGCTATCCCCACAAAGGCCGGGATGCCTTGGTGTCCCAACATGGCGCCCAGCCGTACCCACGAGCCACTCGGTCCCCGCCTCGATGGCGTTGGGGTTCACCTGTGCACCAAGAGCCTTACAGCGAGGCGCACGCCACACGTGGTCCATCACTCATTTGCCTGGTCCCCGCTTGGCACCAAAATCTCAACTGCTCGGAGAAGATCAAGCATGTGGTTCCCCACACACAACATCACACCAGCAAAACAAATCAAACGGTCAAACCAAAGCAAGCGTTAGACGCAACTGTCCAGCCCGCGGGTTCGACAATTATCACCACACACACACACAAGAGACACTAACAAATAAAGAAGACGCGGGGAAATCAGGATTCCATCTGGATGAAGCCCTGCCGTATTTATCGGGGGGGGTCCCATTTCATAGGAAACCCCATCGCTTCCAAGGTACCAACTAGGTCCTCCGTAGAGGTTAGAATAAGGGTGCCCCTTTTTCTGTAGTCTATTTTAGTAGGGGACCCTCCCCCAAAAAAGGGCTGAGAAAGGGCAACTAGCTGGACCTAGACAACGCCCCAGACAAAGTCCACCAGCTTCCGTTCGGGATACCCCCCCCCCCGCCCCCCCGAAAGCCGGCGCTCGAAGGCCAGCAGCGATCAGCTGCTCGAAGGCGTCGCGGGCTTTGGAGTTGGACACCAACTCGTCCGCGCTGGGCGTGTAAACGTAGAGGTCCCCTGCGAGGTTGGGGGCGAAAGGTTGGCTGACAGCTTTTCGGTGGGGGAAATTCGGGGAGGACGCGGTGAAGAAGCCAGACGCCCAGGAAGGCTGCCTGACGGCCATTCTTGTGGGGGGTGCCCAAAACAAGGGATCCCGCATCCAGTGCGGCAGCTTGGCTGACGGCCATTTGTTGTGGGGAACCCAAGCGAAGAATACTGTACAGAAACTGGGTGGCTTAGGCTGCCCTTTAAGTTGGGCCGCAACCCAACTGTTTGAAAAAAACATGTCCAGCCCGTTTGTGTCTGTGTGTGTGCGGTTCGTACTCTGGTTCGGGGATGTTTGCAACGAGTGCAGTGCTGACTGCATTGAAGCCGAGGCCAGACGAAAGTGCGACTAAAATAGCGCCAGTTCTTCTCAGGCCTCCTTCCACAAAGAGGGTCAACAAACCAACCGGTCTCAACATGTACCCAACAGTAGCTTGCCAATGATTCCCTCTTTCCACAAGGCGCAACAAATCCAAAGATCGGTGACTAAAGTCTCAGGGCCTTATCCAATGGTGAAATTCACGTCCAGCAAGATATCCACCAAAAGTAGAGCGTGCCATGCCGAACCATTCCTCTGACCATTCAAGGTGACCCCAGGCACCGAGCATGACAGCTTTGTGCACAGCCTCTCACAGCTAACAAGTGCTGTCTGCGTGGCCCGACACACCCGTTGATGGTGTGACCTGTTGAGTGGGATTTAACAAATGGGTTGATTCTAAACACATGAGTGTCCTTTGCTGCAAGCTGCAATCCGTCCGTTAGAACCCCGTTGGGGTCTCCGAAATTTGTGTTGTTTAGGGCATCACAGCCCCCCCCCCCCCACCGCGGCAAAGCATTGGAAACAGGATGCATGCCGCATGTTCCCAAAGGTTCACGGGAGAAAGATTGGAGCGACGGCTACTCTACAGGAAATTAACAGAAAGGGCTCCCCCGAAAGCAGACTCCTCCAAATAAGATGGTCATGTGGGTTCTATGCCAATCTGGAGGAAAATAATCACGCTTTTAACTGGGGAAACTTGGGGCCTAGTTCACTTATTACTTTGGCAAAAACCTGCTAAGGCTCCAAAGTAGGGCACAATGGAGCGAGCTTCTCCGCAGGTCCATTTGCACGCCTAGGTTGTGTCGTGATGCGCCAGTGATCTTCAATTGAAGATAGTGGTTCCCTTGTCGCTGGTTGGCATCGTTTTGTGATTCGATGCTCCCATTCAAAAAAAAAAAACAACAGACAAACGTCACGTGCTCCGGCGTCGGAAAAAAACCGCACCTTCCAGCCGCAACACCTCGGCCGGGCGAGGAATTGGGTTTGGACGACTGGGAATCTGGAGAATTCCCGTCCACTGCAGGAGTTGCTTCCTTTAAATAAAATCAGAACACCCTGAAAAATATTGGTTGCTCTTTAGCACCCAGGAAGCAAACTAGGATGTGGCACCATCCTATGTGTCTCTGTTTTGGAGGGCTACTTCGTTGGTTAAAAAAGAAGCCGCAGACCCGAGTTGCAAACCACTCCTTCGGGTCCTATTTGAGAGACAAACTGATTGCCAGAGGGCCAATCCTTTAGCCCCTTCCAATTGGCGTGTCCTCTCCCCCGAAAATGGGCCGCTGGATTGCACCCTCGTCTTTGAGGGGAGGTGTTGGGCTGAGAAAACCTTGAGGGTTTAATAGGTAGCCCCTCCCCGGATCGACGTGTCAACCTTCCGCCAGTAGGGGTATACTGGCGAAGACCGATGTGATCCCAACTGGTGTGCTTCTCAAAATGGTAGCAAACACGCCCCGTTCTGAAACAGCGCTATCCTCAAAGCTGTGCACGTTGTTTCTCAATATTGAAAGTCATCCCCTTGAAGTGTTTAACGCTGTTTTGTCCCTTTTGAAGCTATTCCAAGACAAGTTTCCATTTGACCCCCCCCCCAGGCAAAACCCGGAAGAGCGTTCAACAGGATTTCCCTTTTGGCGGATTTGAACATCACCTTTTGGTTGCCAATTTTGAAGTGAGTATTCTTTTGGTGGGGTGATGTTTCAAGTGGAAGCATAGGAAGCCCTGTTCAAAGCGAGGCCCGAACACACCCGAGCTCAAGCTTAGTTCCATGGCGTGGGAGGGCCCTCACGACGATTTCCCGATCGCTTTTCTGCTTTTGTTTTCCTCGGTCTTGGCGAACCCCTCCCCCCGAAATGCTCGTTGATCCCCCCTTCCCCTTTCAAAGAGCCCGGGTGACCAACAAAGACACGCCCAAAGCGCGAGTAGAAGAAATCCTGCACAGCACACAGTGTGACCGTGGCCCCCAGCCTCCTTCGCAGTTCTGCCTCAGTTGGACAAGCGCGTTGCTGGCTGGTGCGTGAAAGCCTCCCAGAAAGCTTGTTTGCTGCTTGTTGTACGGCAAATAGGTTTCATACGGAGAATTGGCCAAAGAAATCACAGAAGCCCATGCAAAGGCTCCGTCTGTCCAGTTGCATCACCGAAACCCCCAAAGGGGGCGGTGCTTTTTGTTCAGGACTTTTTGGGATGGTGTGAAGAGAGAACAAAACAAAAGCCACGCCTTTGGGGGTCCCCCAACTTTGCACACACATACAGGGATCCTTACATTGGACACCTCTACATTGCCTTGCAAATGGTGGTGTCCCTTTATTTTGGTGGAAAAAGCAATGTTTCAAATGGGCAACATGTATCCTTTACGGAGCCCTGTGACACACTTTTGGAACTGCAACGCAAAAACCCACGCCGAGATGCCGGTTTCTTCCGCCTCTGTCTTCTCCTTCGCCTGCCATCGACAAAAACTGTCTCAGCCACCTTCCAAACATCAAGAGAGCCAAAAGCTAGCAATGAACCAAAAAGAGCCAAGTAGACCGGGGAGATTCCAACACTCAAACTGTTATGCCTTAAACTGAAATGATGAAGAAGGCGACAGAATTGAAAATTGAAAACCCAACAGGTAAGGCCCAGCCCAGACTTCCGACTTCCACGCGAAGCAGCCATCAACCCCTGCCTCCTTGAGCTTCGCGATGAGCCGATCTGTCTTGGCATCTCCAGAACCTGCGCTCGGGAGGAAACCAAAGGAGAGATTCTTAGAACCTTCGTGGATTCGGGTTGGAACTTGCTGGTGCTCAGAATGGACGCGGAGAGAGACAGAGAGAGAGAGAGAGAGAGAGAGAGAGATGGAGAGATGGAGAGATGGAGAGATGGAGAGATGGAGAGATGGAGAGATGGAGAGATGGAGAGATGGAGAGATGGAGAGATGGAGAGATGGAGAGATGGAGAGATGGAGAGATGGAGAGATGGAGAGATGGAGAGATGGAGGGATGGAGAGATGGAGAGATGGAGAGATGGAGAGATGGAGAGATGGAGAGATGGAGAGATGGAGGGATGGAGAGATGGAGAAATGGAGAGATGGAGAGATGGAGAGATGGAGAGATGGAGAGATGGAGAGATGGAGAGATGGAGAGATGGAGAGATGGAGAGGGAGAGAAGCAAAACAAGACAGAAGGACAGAGAGGCAAGGAGAGGGACAGAGAAAAAACAGAGACTGGTCATACATTCTCAGTGTTCCTTGGGGGCCGTCCGCCCGTTTTGCTTCTGTTCCAAGGTGAAACTTGAAGAGCAACAGCTGAAAAGGGAAGTGGGTGTTGCTAGAAAGTGGGCATTTTTGTTAGGTGGATTCCTTTGGGTTCCTCTTTTTCGACCCATCCAAAAGGGGGTTGCCCTAGTTTGAGAAACCCCCAAATTTGGAGACCACCGTGAACACGCTCCCCACGCTCTTCGCTCCCCGCCGTCGTAGTTGTCGATGACCTCCTTGATGTCATTGGCGCTCTTCTCCGCCTCCTCGCGCGCTTCGATAACATCTACCCCCAAATGGCTGTGGCTCAAAAAACCTGAATTCCAAATTGCCTGGCCCGATCGGTGAGTGGAAACACGGACCAAAACCTTCGTAACCCCTTCTGTTTAATTTTGAGCCACAGCCGAATGAGCTGCGCCTGTTTCACCCATTGACTTGTGGTGCTACTCACATGGTTATACAGCTTTGTGTTGGCTGGGCTATGACCCCCGGTAGTAGAACCACCTAGAACAGCCAAAAGGGATCGGTGTGGGGCTCTGCTCAAATGACCGTCAGGACCCAAGGTTTCACGGGATATACAGCCACAACCACGGTTGGCCCGAAAGCAGAACATCGCAAGCGAGGTCGGCCCAACGCTGCAGGATGCGTTCTTTTTCCCTACACTTCGTGAAGCAAGCGCGAGACAGCACCAGGCAAGGTGCTCTGCGCAAACTGGTCGGTGCAAGTTGGTCTGCGCAAGTTGCTCTACGCTAGTTGCACTCTGCAAGTTGCTCTGCGCAAGTTGCTCCGCGCAAGTTGCTCCGGCAAGTTGGTCCCTGCAAGTTGCTCTGTGCAAATTGCGCTCCCTGCAAGTTGCTCTGTGCAAGCTGCTCTGTGCAAGTTGCTCTGTGCAAGTTGCTCTGCGTAAGTTGCTCTGCGCAAGTTGCTCTAGGCAAGGCGCTCTGCGCAAACTGGTCGGTGCAAGTTGGTCTGCGCAAGTTGCTCTGTGCAACTTGCTCTGCGCAAGTTGCTCTGCGCAAGTTGCTTAAAATGCAAGTTGCATCTTGCGACGCCCGCCCGCGGACCAGGGAGGAATCGAACCCGCGACCCGCCGGTTCCGGGAGCAGGCGCGCGAACCACGAGACAACTCCCGAGGACCAGTTCGAACAACAAAAGTCGCAAAAAACCTTTTGCACCTCGACCACGCCGATTCCCGCAGAGGGTTGCGCGAGCACCGCAGAAATCGCAAAAAACCATGGGTTTTTGCACCTCGACCACGCCGATCCCCGCAGAGGGTCGCGCGAGCAGGTTAGAAATCGCAAAAAACCATGGGTTTTTGCACCTCGACCACGCCGATCCCCGCAGAGGGTCGCGCGAGCAGGTTAGAAATCGCAAAAAACCATGGGTTTTTGCACCTCGACCACGCCGATCCCCGCAGAGGGTCGATTTTCGTGTAGTGTCGTCGGCACTACCCCGCCGCCCTAAGAAGAGATTTTAACTCCTCGCAAGTCAATTGCACTTGACTCCTTGCACTTGCAACTTGCACTTGACTCCTTGCTTGTTTCAAGGAGTCATTGCAAGGAGTCATTGCAAGGAGTCATTGCAAGGAGTCATTGCAAGGAGTCATGGCAAGGAGTCATTGCAAGGAGTCATTGCAAGGAGTCATTGCAAGGAGTCATTGCAAGGAGTCATTGCAAGGAGTCATTGCAAGGAGTCATTGCAAGGAGTCATGAGAGCCATTGCAAGTTGCAAGGAGCCAAGTGCATGGAGTCAAGTGCAAGTCGCAAGTGCACGGAGTTAAGTGCAAGTTGCAAGTGCAAGGAGCCAAGTGCAAGGAGCCAAGTGCATGGAGTCAAGTGCAAGTTGCAAGTGCATGGAGTCAAGTGCAAGTTGCAAGTGCAAGGAGTCAAGTGCAAGTTGCAAGTGCAAGGAGTCAAGTGCAAGTTGCAATCCTTGCCATGACTCCTTGCAATGACTCCTTGCAATGACTCCTTGCAATGACTCCTTGCAATGACTCCTTGCAATGACTCCTTGCAATGACTCATTGACTTTCATGATGATGATTCCTTGCAATGACACCTTGTAATGACTCTCATGAGAACAATTCAAGTGAACCCAGCGGAAGAACCCTTCGCCATGCTTTCGGGAAGAAGGCGCCATGAATACAGGGCACCTACATATTTCTTGTTGGGTGGTGGAAACCTCATAGAAGTGTCAGACACAGCCAGGCCACCCCCCTTCCCCCAATGCAAGAGATCCACTACTCTAGGTGTTGATTCACGGCGTGTAGTGATTGTCCTTGTCAAAGATCAGCTCTCTCCCTAGGTTTGTGGTGGTTTTGTTGGGAAGAAAGGATCTCTGGGTTCAGGATGGGCGCATGTTTTCGAGGTCCCTCTTGTAGTCGAAAAGCATCCCTCAAAAGGCCAGGGTTCCTGATAAGGAGAACTGAGGATTGTTAACGCCCCTGATTAGCTAATAGGGGCGTCTCCGGAACAACACTACAGTGGAAACAACACCCCTGCTAATCTATCCAGCCTCAACACATCACCGGGGAGTCAATAACTTGGCCCCCAGTTGGAGCCCTGGAACACCCAAAAATGTGGGTTTCGTTTCCCTTCGTGCCGTTTTTGATGGGGGACGAAGGGAAACCATTGCCCTGAAACCTCCAAGAAAGTTGAAGAGCTGTGAAGTGTAAACGAATTCCAACTGGGTTCGTCATGTATCATCAACGATCATACCACCACAAGGAAGCTCACCTGAAATGGCCACAAACGGAGATGGCCATCTCAAGGGAGGGGGCGCTGTCGAACATGTGGGTGTGGGTCAAAATTAAACCACCAGAAGACCACAGGTTTTAGTCCTTGGTTCCATTTACCAGGGTTCCATTTAGGACCCATTTTTGACCCACAGCCATGTGGGTGGCTTGCTGCCGGGGGGCTGCCGCAGTCGCATTCTCCATCGGCTTGCCCATCGGCATATCGCCCTTCTCCTAGCAAATCGACAGATTGGTCTGGGTGAATTGGAGCAACGCACAATATGGCTGTCGGTCAAAAATAGGTACCCAAAATGGAACCCTGGTAAATGGAAACATGGACTAGAACCTGCTGTCCCTTGGTGGTTTAATTTTTGACCCATACCCATATGTTGAGAGTGATGCTTAAGCCTACCCCTTTTTGGGTTTGGTTTGAAAGAAAGCCAAAAGAACGCCCACCAAAAGGGGTGGGTGGGAAGCGGGTATTTTGACACATACCCATATCTTCTTGGTTCATTTGGAGACTGTCCTGGTGTTCTGCGCAATGGTGTTTGTTCGAGTATATCCTGTCAAAATAGACACACTACCAGTATTGGTTGTTCTGTTGCTCAGATGGCTTCAAGAATCTTTGCAAGGACAGAAATCGGCTGATTCGTCTCAGAAATCAGTTGCCAAAATGGGAACCCGAACCGAACACCACCATTAATATTTGCTGTCTCTCATTTTCTTTGGGCCGGGAGTGGGGGGGCCAAAAAAGACACACAACCATTTACCAGAAAACCCACACACACAGACACACAGACACACAGACCCACAGACACACAGACACACAGACACACAGACAGACACAAAGAGACACACACACACAGACACACAGGCACACAGGCACACAGACACACAGACACGCAGACCCACAGACACACAGACACACAGACAGACACAGAGAGACACACACACACAGACACACAGGCACACAGGCACACAGGCACACAGGCACACAGACACACAGACACACAGACACACAGACCCACACACACAGACACACAGACACACAAACAGACACAGGGAGACACACAAACAGACACAGGGAGACACACACACAGACACACACACACACACACACACACACTTTTCAGACACCCAGACACACACAACACGCAGGCCTCCGAGATCAGAAAGGCATGTTTCCCAAAATTCGAGATGCAAGCCAGCCACCTTGGTTTGTTTCTAGTTGATCAACAGAGGACCCTCTTAATGGTTGCTGTCCTTCTGCCTTCCCTTTCAACCAATCGGAAAAGGGAACGAAAGGTGGCTACCTTGCTCCCATGCCCAGAGAAGCCAAGCGCATTTGGCGAAGGCAACCCCAAATGACAAGGAACTCTCAAAAGGAGAGGTCACCCAGTTTGATGTGAGAAGAAGTGCAAGTGAGCAATTTATGCTCCCTCCTTCTCCTCCTTCTCCTCCTTCTCCTTGACCTCCTTCTCAGGCGTGATGGGCTTCTCAGGCGTGATGGGCTTGATGGAGCTGAGGTTGCCCAGGACGCCTCACAATCAACACCCCTAGTTGCGCGCGCGTGTATGTGTATGCTGCGAGCACGGTGGAGGGGGAGAGAACAAAATGCAAAAGATGTTGGGAGTGGATCCTGCCACCTGTTTACGTTAAGGTGATTCCCTACTGTTGAGTGATCCTGAAGGCAGAACCTGACCCCACCCCCCCCCGGCTGTCCGACGCGCTGTCAACGCTGTCCGCGCGTCCGAGAGAGCTGTGAAGGCAAACAGCCATCTCCCGCTACGAGACACGCCGAAGGAGAATCTCGAAGCTTTGTAGCCCAACGCTTGGTCATTGCTGGGAGACCCCCCTTTGATGATCCGCATTTGAAACGGAACCAAGGGAGCCCACCAATGTGGGGCGGGGGATAAAAAATACTGAGCAGTAGTACTGGAAGTAGAAGGAGAAAAGAAAGAAGTAGATGTAAAATTAGAAGTGGAGACAGAATGTAGTAGTCAAAGTCGTCGTAGTGGTAGCAGCAGAATACCGGTAGCACCAGTACAAGTACTAGCGCCAGCACAAGAAGAAAACCACATCGGCGCCCCTTGCCTTTGAAGAGGTCAGGGTCGGTGTCCACCTGGCGCAGATTGACATATGGTTTCCAAGACCCAAGCCGCTGCCCCCGAAGGAAAATGAGAAAATATACTCTATGATGGGCATGACGCAAGGGCTTAACCCATGTGGCTTGGTTGGTGGAAACCATCTCAAACAGAAATGCAAAGTCGGGTCACATGACCAGTTTATTTTGGGTATATGACCATTCCTAAATTGCCGAAAGGAGGTTTCCCTTGTCAAACGTTCCGACATTAGTTCGATCAATTCTCTTCACGGAAGGTGGATTCCATGTTAGTGGACGGGCAAAAGGCGCGTGCTGCCGAACCATAAAGATCAACGGCCACCAACATTGATGGGTAAAAGGTGAGTTTGGTCGAAGCCAACCTCGGACCTCGAGTTGCCATGGGAGAACTGTCGCAGCTGACTTTAAGAAGCCTCCCCTCCGAAGAAAAAAACAACGCAGACACGCGGAAAACGGCCGCATCCACTGGCGGCGACCCCATGGAAACAACGCCTCGTGCAGGTACTTGGACACGGCTGCCACGTCACCGCTGTTCACAAGGCGGAGGACCTGGCGGAATATCGTGGCGTTCCAAACCCAGGTGGGGAACCTATTTTTTCAACACCCAATTGAGTCACAATCAAAACCTGGTATCAAAATGGTCAACCCAGAACCATGTAAAGAATTAACAAGGCGGCCGCAGCTATTTCTGGTTGGGATTGTCCCTGAGTAGCCTTCGTCTACCCGGGTTTTGATTGTGGCTGGCGGTAGCGGCGCTGTCTATCCTCCAGGGCATTGCCTGGGAGTCACGGAGTGAACCCTAAAAGCGAAAGAAGGGCCACGAGGATGCCGACCTGCGAGGAAAGTTCAGCGACTCTTGCCTCGCAGGCCGAAGGCAGAACAAACTCAGAATATTGTACTTTGCATGGGGGCATCCGGCGAAGCCTGCCGAGCCTTGTCCAGGGGACCGTGAATCCACAGAGCACGCAACGCGGCTCGGAAGGGTCCCAGTCAGCGCAATAACAGTGGGAAAGCCCGGGGGCTCCAGCCAGGCGACTAGCCCGCCCCGTCATGAGATGTTTCCTTCGACCTATACAAAACCGAAGTCTGCGCACAGAGGAGTTGCCGAGAGCTTCACGCAGTTGCTCGGCGTCCAACCCCGACAAGAAGCCGAGAGGCACCTTCTCAAGAAGAACAGGGCCCGCTTTCTTATCATTCAGACGTGTCCGTACCACCAGGGAGGCAAAGAGCGGCGAATACCTCCAACAACATAAGGTATTCCTCATTCAAGTTGACAAGAACTTTCAGTCCAATATTGATGCCGTCGTGCCGTGGAAGAAGCAGCCCGAAGGGCATCGTCGGCAGCGGAGGCCAAGATTGACACAGCTCCAACATGTCCGGCTCGGTTTCAGCATCAATTGGAATCCCTTGCATCTTGAGAATACCCATACATAACATCCGGATCTTCCACTGGGCCTCGCGAGCAGTCTTGATCTTACGCAGGAAGGGCGCTTTGTCCCCTGCAATAAAGATGAAGAGCAGCAAGGCCTCAATCAAAGTATGCCTCCTCGAGAGGGCTTCGGCTTTGCCTTTGTCAAATAAGCACCAGTCAAGCATACCACGAAGAAGGTGGAAGTCTTCAATACAACCACCCCAATACCATAAGTTGGCTTTGACCGCCATCATGTCAGGGTCAGTCAAGAATTGTCCCCTCTTGAATACAACGTGGCTGTGAAAGGGGGAGCTGAGCAAATAGATATCTTCCGAATGAGCGTGCTGTCGATCAGCACGATCAGATTGTACCGGAGCATGATCAAGCTGAATATTGTAATCAATTGCACAGAGATCGCGGTGACGAACTTCCCACTTACCCAGGAGGTCAACCGCTTGTCGTTGAATAGTACCCCATTTAGCCTGAAGCCTAGGGGGGAGGTCTTTGCAGAACACAAGAAGGTGTTGAGAACAGGGCCTCCACCGAGACCAGGATTCCCAACCTTCATCCCATTGACTGCGCAGGTCGGCCCAAAAAGGGCATTCCCAAAACAGGTGCGCCATAGTAGCGTCATGGTGTCTGCATTCTCTGCACTCTGGAGTATCAGTGAACTTCTTGACAAATTGCGTGTGGAAGGAATTAATCCCGTTGATCAGCACTCGAATGAGCTTCTGTTGCACCGGGTGCCCTTCAGGTAATAAGTGAAGAAGTGCAGTGGTCGTGCCGAAATCGTGGTTGCCGACTCCCTTCCAACAAGAGGAGTTGCATTGTTCCAACTCAGAGGCAATCTTGTTACGGAAGGAATGACAAAGAGCTTTGCTCATCACTTTGCAGTCGCCATTACCAAAGGTCCAAAGTAGTCTACCTTCATTGTTGCTAACTTGCAAGTTGTCAACGTTCAAATGAAGCTGCAGATACTCCAAATCTTTTTTAAGCTGAGAAACAGGGCCAATCTTTTTGATAGAGGGTTGAACCTTCTCCCAAGTCTGAATCACAGCGTCCTTGAAGGCGCGCTTCTTGAAGGCATGATTGTTCCAAACAAAGAAAAACTCAGGGTCCATAAGCAAGTAGTTTTTCTGAAACAGAATTCGGGCCGAAAAGGTCCCAAGCTTGCTCCCATGTGCCGCAGAACGAATAGCTGTGCGAAGCTGCCTGAGCTGCTCCTTGGACGGTCTCAGTGTAGTGCCAGCATATGTAAGCATAGGAATAATGACCGTGTGGACAATCATATTGGTAGTGGCCGCAGGTTGGTTGGCCCTTGCAAGTAGTTGTAGCGCGGTAATAGCTCAGTGTATTTTCTGTTCAAACCAAGTCTTAGAGGAAAAGAGCCCAATAGCCAGGGGAACGCCAAGGTAATCGACCGATTTGACTTCCTTGACAACTTGCCCATCCCGCCAGCAAAGTGGTGTGGACTTCTTCACATCTCTGATTTGACACGTCTTAATTTGCGTGCGGAAATTATGTAGCGTATCCCAAGCTTCGGTGCGTCCAAAGGCATGCTGGAGTTCACTCGAGTCACTTTCCGTGAAAAGAAGCCTATCATCCACATAGACATAATTGTACACAGCGCTGTTGAGATCTCTTGACCAAACCGCCAGCACAAGGCTAGCAGCAGCCATACTGATGGGGTCGCCCTGAGGCAACCCGATCGTCCCAAGAACAGGCCGCCTGGCCACAATGCCGGAGGTGGAAACGAATCTCGATGGAATGAATCCAAGTGCCGACTGCCGCCTGATGCATACCCCATTCGGATAAGGCTTGACAAGCAAGCCAATGTGGGATACAACCGAAGAACTTGACAGTGTCGATTGCCACACCATGGAATGAGAGGTGCGTCTCATTCTGGCATTTCTCAGCAGATAGAGAGGCGTGCAGCCAAGCTTGATACCCACTGCGCCGAGGTACACCCCCAATGATGTTCTCAGGGAGGTTGTCGAAGGAGATTTCACCGCATTTCAATAGCCACTTGTGGAAAATGCGTAGTGCCGTAACTTCAATAGTGATGGGCCTCATGGCTTCGAGATCAAAGCCAGCGTCACCTTTTGGGATAACCACAAGTTTAGCATTAAGCCAATGCTTGGGAGCCCTTCCGCAAATAACGCAAAGCATAAAAAGACTGTGTAGAAAATCCACGCCCTTCTGCGGTAGCTTTTTGAAATGCGCATAGGTCCACCCACCTAGCCCCGGCGAGGAGACACCTTTCCCGTTTCTGAGGATCCGATTGAGGTGTTTGACATTCCACATATCTGCAGGGACTTCGTGGTTGGCGTTGCCCACATCCCAAGACATTTGATCATCATGCTGGTAGACCGTAGCAAAGAAGTCGCGAATGACATCCACCGTCTCTTGAGGGGTCTTGGTCCAACCATCATTTGCCTTGATAAAAGGGGGGGGTTTGCGGATCGGGGCTCTGACCCATTTGCAAACGTCACCAATCCACTTGCTCTTCTGGGATTTGTCGCAAGGCTGCTGCATCCTGTGCTTCCAAGCTTGAAGTTTATCAAGTGAGGGTTGACCCAGCTCAAGTAGAGCTTCCCGAATCTCTTCGTGCTCCTGTGCTTCACTGGATTGCGCGATGAGCTTCTTGTGAAAAATCGCTTGCTGCTGGTTTTCCCAATGCATTTCAACTCCCAACCCAGGGACTCTCTTGAAGTCGGTGTGACCGTTCCAAAAACGAAACATAGTTGAGGCGAAGATGGACCAACAAATATCCACATCAAATTTTTCATAAGCCGCGCACCATTCATCTTGCAACTCGTCCCACACTTCGACGTGATTCCCACACTGTTTGTCGATGTGATATCCTTCAACCTGCAAATACTGATGCACCTCAGCATTCCAATTGAGCTTGGTCGAAATGATGGCATGTCCATTGTCGTAGGGGAAGAACGTGATTGGAGGACAGAATTCCATTCGAACATCTTTGTGACAAAGAATGTCATCAATCTTTGTTTTGGAGTGAGCTCTCTGAAAAGTAAAAGCATCGGGACCAAGCATGTCCGTCAATTTGGAATACAAGTCCACGAAGAGGATGTCCATGTCCGACCCCCACTGCAAGGGACTGTTGATGTCTCCAGCAATGGAGTGAGGTTGGACCTCCTGAGCATCTGCCGCAAGGTCGCTGAGGAACTGGAAGTTCTTCTGCGGGTCATCAGGGGCATAAACATTCCAAAGCGTTCTCCAAGTGGTACCGTCGAAGAAGTTGACCGCCAAGAATCGTCCCTGCTTGTGCCAGTACTCCATTCTAGTAGGGGACGGGCCCACATGGGCCGGAATCTCCTTCTTGATGGCGATCGCAACCCCAGGGCACTGCTTGTGATGCAGACCAACTTTGCCACAACCTTTCTTTTTCCAAACCGGACACTTGCCAAACAGGAGTTGGTAACCGGAGGAGTCAGCCGAATTAGCGAACAGTTGGGCTTTGCGAGAGTCAATACGGGCTTCCTGTAAAGCGAGGATGGAGAAGCCCATACCCAGAACCATATTGAGCTTGTCGGAGAGACTATTAAGATTCCAAGTACCAAGGAAGACCTCTTCCGCCATACCTCCAACCAACGAGATGGTCCAATACATAGCACGAGGTTCTTGAGAGAAGGAGCCTCCAAACATATCGGTGCGTTGAGTACCTAGTCAAGGCTGACCAGGGAACCCATCATCCTCAAAAAGGGAGGACGCAGCAATGTCCTCCTCCATCTGTTCTTCCTGCGCCTGCATCTCCGGGGTTTGGAGAAGAGCTTGGAGGGCCTGCAGCTGCTCCGTCATGGCCATAATTTGATCCATGATCTGTCCTCTAGACAAAGTGCCAGTCGCTCCCTGAGTCTGAGCAGAGTTCTTGGTAGGTGTGCTGATGCGAATCCTCTTCTTGGGACCTTCATCTACAAAAGGGGCATTCCACCACACTGAGTGGGTGGGACCATCCTTTCTGGCCACGCTGGATCCATTTCCTTTACCTTTCTGCAGTTGGCTCTTGAAGGACGGATAGTTGATGGGGTCAACTTTGGGAGGGTCCACTTTAGGGGCCAGCACAAAGCTCCTGACCGTGGGTTCCACCGTCACAACTCTTCTCTCATAGCCAAAA